CAACAGTGAGGTCAATCTCCAGAAGTCCGTGGCAATAAAGGGAGGTCGGACCAAAACTAATGGAAGCGCATGTACTGTATAAAAAGCACAAGGTCATGGCACAATGGGAGCCCTCTGCAGTGTTAAGGGCAGCAATGCACAACTTCTACACTTTACAAGAATATGACAGACGTAATCAGACCACGGTTACCATGGTTTTCACCCAAGCATGAAAGCGGGAATGCAGCTGAACTTTGGAGTTAACAGGAAGGAAATAATCTGCCGGTTGAATAGAACCAAGAGGCATTAACAAAACGTTGGAAACCAATTGAATCCAACTTAAATTTCACATTCTTGTTGAGGATCTACCCTTATGTCTATACGTTAAGTATAAAGCACCAGCTGATCAATTGAGTTTACCATGATGACAAGAAATAAATGTGCTGGTTCAATGCCCACCAGCACACCTAAAGCTTTTTTTGTTTAATCTGTACAAAAACTAAATCAGTGCTAAATGTGAGAAGCTACCCTGTTTCCTCCTGCTTTGTATTTAGCATGCAGACTCGATAATGGTATTGATCTTGTTATGTAGGCTAACTCTCCGTATAAAAGCAGATAAGTGTTGGTGCTCTCTATCTTCACTATGTCTGGATATTAAGTGCATCTCAAACATTTAGAATGCCACTTCAATTAATATAAAGGTTTTATTGCTTTTTAAGTTGCATGGTACAAGTTGGATAGGAAAACATGAAGTATTTATTGCAGAGGAAGGTCACATTATAATTAACCGAGCATATGAAAGGTGGGCCCGGACATTTGGGGCATTTGTCCTGGTCAGAGCATCAGGAAAATGTCCGTAACATCTCGTTGTCTTTCAGGTTGACATATTGTCACCGTCTTGGCTCCTCTTTTCATCCTGATATATTTGTATTCTTTTTGCTTCTATCCTCACATGGGCTCGTTCAGACATTATTCGGACTGAGGAAACTCACTGGGTGATTTGCATACTCACATACAGCCCCTCTCGAAAATTTCAGGAAAATGTCTGGAATTCAGTGCATGTCTGACTGTGGGTTTTGGTGTAAGAGACTTTATGTTGAGCCTCAGGCAAAGGCTACATGACAAATCCAGTTTTAACACTTACTGTGTTAAGGCCTTAAGCCTCATTTGAGCCTGAAAACCTTTAAAAGCTGGCAGAAGACAAACAGAAAAGACCACAGAAAAAAAGTCTATATATTTATGTATTTCACTGTAGTGGTAAATCACTGCTGTTCCATGATACCACACTAAAAGTTAACGGTGTGACGGCACAAGACCATAGACTATATATTCACAAATACAGTATGACATAATGTGTTTACATGGCACTCGCCACGACTGTGAAAACTTTGCTCGGCCGTGTCTCTCCCTGCAGGACAATAAAGTTCCAATTGAACCAGACAGTGTAACTCCACAAAAATACCGGCACTATTGGGAAAACTCAATGTTTTAGTTTATTATTGAATTAAACGTTCAGCAGGTTCATATTTCGTGTTGCAGAGCGAGTGGGTGTGAGCAGTGCAAGATAGAAATAATAAAAGCTTCAAGAGCTGCAGGAAAATCATGTTAAAACAAAAACCTTTAGGCTCAAAATAGGGGACTATGAAATGAACCTGGCATGAGCATTTAACAAAAATAAAGTCCTGATGTCTCTAGACACAGGAGTCGAGTTGATCTGAGATCAGCGGTGAAATGTTTCCCACATCATTTTTAACGAATGTAACTGAACAGGAAAACACTCTCTGGTTAAGAATGAAAAACAATTAAAGGGGACTGTGTGTGTGTGTGTGAGTGTGTGTGTGTGTGTGTGTGTGT